TTCTCATCTTCCAGCTCCCCAGATACTCCGCGTACTAAAGTTGTACTGCCAAGTCGCCAGTTCTCATCTTCCAGCTCCCCAGATACTCTGCGTACTAAAGTTGTACTACAACGTCGCCAGTTCTCATCTTCCAGCTCCCCAGATACTCCGCGTACTAAATGTTGTACTACCAAGTCGCCAGTTCTCATCTTCCAGCTCCCCAGATGCTCCGCGTACTAAAGTTGTACTACAAAGTCGCCAGTTCTCATCTTCCAGCTCCCCAGATACTCCGCGTACTAAAGTTGTACTTCCACGGCGGCAGTTCTCATCTTCCAGCTCCCCAGATACGCGCGCCCAATGGGACTATAGTCGCCCTCTCACCTGCTGTTCGCGCACTCGACACGCACGATGTCCGCAGAGGGTTGCGCGGGCATGGGACAAATCGCACTCTCGCCTGCGTTTCGCGCACTCGACACGCGCGATCTCCGCAGAGGGTTGCGCGGGCATGGGACAAATCGCACTCTCGCCTGCATTTCGCGCACTCGACATGCACGATCTCCGCAGAGGGTTGCGCGGTATTTTCACCAATCGCGCTCTCGCCTGCATTTCGCGCACTCGACACGCACGATCTCCGCAGAGGGTTGCGCGCACACCGGACAAATCGCACTCTCGCCTGCATTTCGCGCACACGACACGCACGATCTCCGCAGAGGGTTGCATTTTCGGTTGACGCTGTTCGTCCCACCCTCCGCCTTTACGAGAGAATTTATGAAGCGGGGAAATGTTTTTCATTAGGACATCTCCCGTGCAAGTTTTCCATACTCACAGTTGCATACTCATTGCATACTCATTACACTTGCATACTTTTGCACTTGGATACTTGCCGTTGGATGCTTTCACTCTTCCACTTACACTGGGGTACGTATAGAAGTGTAAGTGTTCATGTTCATGTTCAAGTGTAAGTGTGGAAGCGTAAGTGTTCAAGTGTACGTGTCGAAATGTCAGTGTTCAAGTGCAAGTGTGGAAGTGTCAGTGTGTGAGTGTAAGTGTAGAAGTGTCAGTGTTCAAGAGATTTTCCGGAAGAACACTTCGCAATGCTTTCGGGAAAAAACAAACACACACCTCGTCAGGATGATAAGGAGGCTTACAGTTTAGTTCTTCTGTGTCATCAGAGTCTTGTGAGCAGCTGACCAATTAGGCACATACGATCTGAGGGGAACCTCCCTGTATAGGTGCAACCCCATCCCACTTTTACTAAGCTGGAATATCCAGTTCTAGTATGTTTGGGCACCAGAGGCGCATCTGAGAACCCTTGCAAGTTATGTACAATGATGCGTAAGGCATCTGCTTGTTCCCGAAGAGATCGCTGTTTTTGCGGTAAGGCAAGAACTTTGGGGTCTTGCCAATGGTGGACGGTGATCTTTTTGGACTTTAATCCATGTCTGAAATTGTGGACCTTGTATCAACAACGAAAGCGACAGCTAGTTCATGCCAAGTGATGCCTTCTTTAGCGATGGGTGAGAGATCAGGAGTGTCTGGATTAGGCCACATTATATAGTGAAACACAAAACTGCTGAACAAGTGCCGCATACTGATTTCCCCACAAGCAAGCAGCTATGACTTTAGGATGAATATCAGGGGAACATGCAACCGGGGGATGCGGAACAGTATAATGCAATCTTTTCTGAAAGAACTGACTCCAGTCCTGGGTGGAATCATGGTGAGCTGATTGTGAATTGGTGTCTGTATTGATCTGATGCATCAGCACATGGTCTAAATCAAGAGCGGCCAAATACTTAAATATATTATGCCTTGATTGAAGGAATTGATCTTGGTGCCATGTCTGTGCTTTCTGAAAATGTCCATGAACCAGCTCATGATCTGTTTTGCGCGTTGTGACAGCTGCAACGTCTGCCCACGTATTGCCTAATGCATCAATTTGCGAAATGCCTGGTGTGAGTTCAGTTATACAAGTAGTTCCCGGGCAAGCCGGCGGCGGAAGTTTCATATAAGAACAAATTGACCTATAGGAGTGTCCACGTTCTCTCCAACATGAGCGTCCTCCAGTCAAACGCACGCGCTCCGGACTTGTGCCCCCTGCAGGATCAGCAGCTCACAACAGCGTACTGGGTTGTATCTTTGCCACGACAAGAGGGGTGTATGACGAGTGGTGTATGATGAGTGGTGTATTGACCAGCAGTTGAATGTCCTGTCCTGCATAAATGCAACCAAATACTATCAGTATGAACTGTGCCAAACCTGCACGCCGCGAGAGATGTCTCAGCAGCGAGAGATGACTCAGCCGCGAAGAGCTGACTCAGCAGCGAGAGATAAATGAGCAGCGAGAGATGACTCACAGCAGCGAGAGCTGACTCAGCACCGACAAATGACTCCTCCGCGTACTACACTTGTACTACAAAGTGGCCAGTTCTCAGCTTCCAGCTCCACAGGTTGTTCCGCGTGCTAAAGTTGTACTAGAAAGTCGCCAGTCAGTTCTCATCTTCCAGCTCCCCAGATGCTCCGCGTACTGCAGTTGTACTACACAGTCGCCAGTTCTCAGCTTCTAGCTGCACAGATTGCTCCGCGTACTAAAGTTGTACTACAAAGTCGCCAGTTCTCAGCTTCCAGCTCTACAGATTGCTCCGCGTACTAAAGTTGTACTTGAAAGTCGCCAGTTCTCAGCTTCCAGCTCTACAGATTGCTCCGCGTGATAAAGTTGTACTAGAAAGTCGCCAGTTCTCAGCTTCCAGCTCTACAG